GCGGCGACGACGGCGCAAGCGTTTAGCCATTTCACGTGGCAGCACACGCTCGGCCAAGCGTTGGTCGTGGACCTTCAAGGCGTCGACGGTCTCTGGACCGACCCGCAGATCCATGCGCTCGACAAGACGCTCTTTGGTCGCGGCAACCTCGGCGAAGAAGGCATGACGCGCTTCTTTGCGACGCACGAGTGCAACGCCCTCTGCACGGCGCTGGGGCTTCCGCCGTTTGATGGACCGGACCCAATGGCTGCACCCCTACCTCTTGCACCATCGGAGGATGAGATGCGCTGCAGCTGTTGGCTCTGCGGGGCAACGTACACTCGGACGCACGCTGCCGTTGTAGCCGAGCTCAAGGCGAATGACGGGTGCGACGTGCACTGCGATGCGTGCACCGCGCTTATTACTGCGACAACATCGACCGTGGCCTGCAGCACGTGCAACCGACCCGTGACGTTTGCCGCATACCGCTGCGAGATGGAAGGCGAGGCACCACCAACGCTGTGCATGGGGTGTACGCCACCGACGCTGCCGACGACGTGGATCAAGCGAATCCATGCGGCAGTAGAAACGGCGGCGCAGGCGGACGGGTGGGCGACGCTGGCGGCCGTCGAGCACCACTTGGTCACGGCGCACCCTGGTTTCCGCTCCACTGAGTATGGGTTTGCGGCTCTGGTCGACGTGTTGCGGGCCGCTACCATCGACGACGGTGCGCGAGGGGTCTCTCTTTCGGAGTCCCTTGGTGCGTCTGGCCGCGTAGCTCTTAGTTACTCGTACATAATCCACATGCCTTGCGATTGACTCAGCCATGGTGTCGCCAGTGAGGAATCCAACCTTGTTCAGAAGCGCTGGAAATGCACCGACGCGGTCTTGTTGGGCCAGACAACAGCACGCTCAAGGAGAAGCTGCGCTTGAGCTTAAGCTTAGTCCGTCCGCCTACCTAGTGCTAACCGAGGTGGAACTGCGCTTGGCTTAACCCAGGCGAAAACACAACACGAGCTTAGCAGCGCATAGGCGAGCAAGGCAGGTGGAAAGGGGGCGTCAAATGACCAAGTGAGCGCAAAGCTCCGCCACCCAAAAACACCTCCTGAAAGAATATAGTGCATGCACGTACCGATTCTTGGAGACCATCGTTGAAGATACCTGAGGCGTCTCATAGCTGTCACTTGCGACTGTGCGTTGCACAAGACGGGTGGTGAACAATGTACTGGCCGCGACAACATTGCGACCAACGGCATAACTTCCGTAGTGCCAAAGGAATCGTGATTCTTATCCCTCTCCGATCTGAGTTGCACCGACGACGCCAACCACGCACGCGAGCGTTTCACCTCTTGGCCAATCCGAAATTGCCACGTCATGGCCTTCGTCTCGGCTTTTCATTCGTCAAAACCAAATGGTTGAAACCCATGCGCTCATTTTAGTACATTCCCCATCATATTCTAGTATGGCAGCACACCCCGTTGTATCTTTACGCTGCAAGAGTCGACTCACAGGTCGACTTCTTGGTCAACACGTTGCGACATCGGAGATTTGCCCCTGTCTGCTCCGACAACTTCGAGGGGACTTGGAGTCGTCAACACCGTTGGTCGATATCTACTACTAGCAAAAATGGTCGCTTGAGAGAGCCTGGTGATGGCGAGAGGCGATGATGCTTGACACGAGTGGATCCACATTCGCATTGTATTTTTGTTGAGTTGCCTGGCGGCCGTTATATTGGTCGCCGTTGTCGGTTTACTTCGGAATGATCCATCTCCTGCCCACAGCCTTCATCTTCGGGCGCTCTCGGTCTTCGGGCCGGAGCGTCGTGCACCACCGCGTCTGCTGGAGTGCCAGCCCGATGCTCGTCAGTCTCTTCATGCTGCTCAACCTCGTGGCGATGGTACTCTCCTCTTCCCATGTACTTCGATATGACGTCTTTTGACGGCGTAGCCCATGAAGGCGTACATCTCGGAAGCCTTTCCATGGACGTCCTTGGCACCCATGCCATCGTTTGCGTCGTTCAGCAGCTTTAACGCGACAACACTCGTCGACTTGCAAGCGCGATACAACTCGGCGACGCTTCCTAAGGGCGCTGCCAACTTTGCCGACGGCAACAATGGCGCCCAAGTGCTACGCCAGCTCCTTCCACGCGGTCCATCCATTCCCCAAGCCCGCTGCACCTCGGATTTTCTTGTGGGCAAGCCTGGTAGTATTTACTATGGCAGCTACACCCGGGACTTGCTCTGTGCGTTTGCTGCCGCGAACGATACGACAGTGCACTCGGACCCCTGGGATCGTCGCGGGTCGTGCATGACCACGTCGGCGCCCGGGCTTGTCCTCGGCTACCATTGCATCTGGCTCACGGCCGGCGATGCCCTCCATTTGTCGAGTCCGCCTCCTGGTGTTTACACGCTGACCTTTGCCATGGCAATTGCTCCGTACCCTCACTGGTACTGGACCAAGTTTGTCTACCGCGTGGGCACCACAGTCGGCATTGGGCTGCTGCTCTGGCGCCGCTACTACAAACACTGCGTAGCCCTCCAGCGTCAACTGGCGCGCCTCGGACACGCCCACGAGCTTCGCTCTGGCGAGTATTCGTATGTGATTTCGATCGGCGACCCGACCGCGGTGGTGCTGACCAACCCGTGGGTTGCGCTCGCCTTCTTCGTCGACGTCTGGGCGAGCTTTGACACGCTCTCGTTTGCCGTCCTCCGTGGCTCGCAGAACGAAGATGCCATCGAGCTTCTCGTCGCCTTCCTGTACCTCTCCCGAGCGGTAGTAACGTCGTGGTTGAGAACTTGAGTGAATCTGACGCCATTCGTAGGTCTGGCTCGCGTACTTTGGCCTCTCCGTCATGTCGGCGGGCCTCAAGCACTGGAGGAAAGAGCACGTCTTTGGCGAGGTGGACCCGACGCTGGTCGCGATTGCCGTCACGATCTATGGCCCACTGCTCACGTACTTCATGGGCAACTCGGCCTGGCTACTGCAAGTCTACTGGTACCTCGAAGAGTGCATGGTGCCCACGTCGGCGCACGGCCACGAGCTCGTCGTTCTGCTTCCTTGCCTCATTTACACGCTAAGTCTTACCATGGCGCCGCTACTCTTTGGCCTCGTCAAAGCCATAGCAGGTACTTGGCTCGAAAAATTCTCGTCTTCCTTTGGTTGGCATTGACGAGCTGCCTAGTGCGTTGGCATGACGCCACGGAAAGCGACGAACGATACAGCAGCCTCCGCTTCACGACAGCCAAGACGCGGGCCATCGTTGCTATCTTTCGCCTCTGCCAGCCGCAAGTGGCGGTCTCAGTCCTCAAGCTCGGTGGGACCATCTATGCTCTCTTCGACGCAGCGCCGCGCTACAAGGCCAACCCGACCATTAGCTACGTTGGCACCGATTGCTTTGTGTATTGCTATCGCAACGGTGAGCTCGAGATGCGCCTGCGGCTCAGCCTCCTCGAGGCGCTCGACGTCCACGCGTCGGCTAAGAGCGAGCGAGCTGCTGTCGACACGCGCGAGGTCTCGCCCTTTACCATGCACGAGCTCGTGCTGCCCATGGGCATCCAGCGTCCTGGCGAAAGGAAGATCAAGGTGTCACCGACGCCAGCGCGGAGCGTCCGCCTCCGTCGACCCCGCGAGCCGTCGGTGTGGTGTCTCTGAGCAAACGTCGAATAAAATATCGAAGCATGTGTTGTCCAATCCAAACGCTTGCTTTGGCATCACGATCGTTCTTTTCGACCAATCACAAACGCATTCGATCTTCGCTAGATCTCGGCATGAAGGCCGTGAGCGCGTGGTCAGGCACCGCCGGCCTCGGCGCCGTCGCCGCCCTCGCCGCCGCCACCTTCGCCAACACCCTTTCCTGCGGCTTTGTATGGGACGACCGCGCCGCGATCTTGACGAACCGCGACTTGCGCACGGACGAGACGTCGGTGTGGGACCTCTGGAGCCACGACTTTTGGGGCATGGCACTCACGTCGCCGACGAGCCACAAGAGCTACCGACCACTCACAGTGCTCACGTTTCGAGTCAACTATGCCCTCGGTGGCTACAACCCGATGGGCTACCATCTGCTAAACGTCCTACTGCACATTGCGGCGTCGGTACTGGTCGTCGTGGTCGGCCGTCGGGTGGTGGCACCGTTCGGTGCGTCGAACACACCCGTCCTCGCCGGCCTTCTCTTCGCCGTCCATCCGATCCACTGCGACTCGGTTGCGAGCGTCGTTGGCCGCGCCGACGTCCTGTGCACCTGTCTCTCACTGCTGGCATTTTGCCTCTACGACGCCTCGGCCTCCGCCACGTGCACCAACTGGCCGCTCTACACCGCGAGCCTCGTCTGTGTCCTTGCAGGTACAACACATCATTCTCTTCTTGCAGTCGATGAATCCCATATGACTCTAGCCACCTTGTGCAAAGAACTCGGGGCCACGACCCTGGGCATTCTCGTGGCGCTTGAGCTGCTGCGCACCGCGCCGCCGCCATCCAGGTCCAAGCGACTCGGTCTATCAGCTGGCGTCGTCCGCGTAGCGCTTCTTTTGGGTCTCGGCAGCGCCGCCATTGCCTCTCGCATCGCGCTCAACGGCGACCAGACCCTCTACGCATGGTCGATCTTTGAGAATGACGTGTCGCTGCTTCCATGGGGCCTTCCGCGTCTCCTGACCACGCTGCACACGCACGGCTGGTACCTCTACAAGCTCGTCTGGCCGCAGTATCTCTGCTACGACTATGGCTTTCGAACGATCCCGATCATCTCGTCGCTCTTCCAGATGGAAAATCTGGGAACGGTGCTCGCCTATGCGGCTCTCCTGGTGCTACTACGCGTAGCGTTCGACCGCCGGCAGACGTCGCCGTTGCTTCTGCTCACGTCCTTTGGTCTCTTCCCGTTTATACCGGCCGCCAACCTCTTGTTTCCCGTCGGCACCATCGTCGCCGAGCGGCTCATGTATTTTCCCAGCGTCGGCTTTTGCTTTGTCTTGGGGTACGCACTGGACTCGGCGCTGCGTGTCTCAGTGCGCTGGCGGTATGTCCTGCTCGTCACCTTGGTGTTGGCGCTGGTGACGGTCGGACTCGCCCGGTCGATGGCCCGCAACACCGAGTGGTCGTCCGAGACACGCCTCTTTGAAGCTTCGGTCCTCACGGCGCCGTGGAGCGTCAAAGTCCTGAGCAACCTGTCCAAAGTACTCCTCGGACCGGACCCGCCACGGGCTGCCGCGTACCTGGAACGTGCGCTCTCGGTCGCGCCGCGCTACGCCGTGGGCCATCTGAACCTCGGCCTGGCCTACGCTGGCATGGGGAAGCCACTGCATGCGATGCAGAACCTTCTCGACTCGATCGACGTCGACCCGAGCCTGGCGGTGTGTGATTGTGTCCACTCGATACGTTGATAGTGTATTGATACGCGATCGTAGGCGTATGGGTACCTGGGGCGGTACGCATCGAGCTTTTACCTCACGTCGCAGCACGAGCAGTTTGCCATGAGCAACGCGACGCACGCGCGCAAGCTCGCGCACCACTTGCTCGACCACGCGATCGCCCAAGGCGCGAGCATGCCGGGTCTCTTCTTCATGCGCGGTCTTCTCGCGTACTACACCAAGGACTTTGTAACCGCCGTTACGTACGCCAATCTTGGTCTTCTTAGAGCGTATGGAGATGAACGTAGGTACTTTGGCGCGACGGTGCAAGCCAACGACGTCGTGCGCGCCCGAGGCTACGACCTGGAAGAGCTCGTGACGCCGTGCGCTGCGCAAAACATGCTCGCCTTGTCGCTGGACGAAAGCGGCGACGTTGATGGCGCCTTCAACTTGTACATGGAGTATGTCCAAGCGCAGTCGCAGTGCCTCGAGATCTACAACAACGCAGCGATGCGCCTGCGCGATCGCGGCCGGCTGGACGAAGCGGCGCAGCTGCTCACGACCGGCTTGCACCGCTTTCCCGACTCGGTCATTTTGTTGATGAATGCGGCGCAGGTCGCCGAGGACCGCGGCAACGACGTCGAAGCCTACTCGCTCTTCCTCAAGGGCTTCGCCATCGACCCGACCAACGAATCGCTGCTCGCCAAGCACGCCAACCTTGTGCCAAAGCTTGCCAAGCCGCTGCAGTCGGGCACCGTGGCACCGCAGCCCATGGCTTCCTAGGACCACATAGAGGCTCGTAAACGCTTGTAGTACAGTGCACCTACATGCACCCGTGATGCTCCTGGAGCAAGCTGCATGGACGTTGTTGAGGCGAGCGCGATGGGCGGCGCGCGATGGGCGGCTGTGCCACATCGGTTGTTCACGAATCGAGTTGGATCTGCGCGATGGATACGTGGACCCCCTACCTCGACGATATCAGATGGGTCCCATGCTGGGTGGGTCCTTGGTTTAGTTATTTCTAGATGGCATATATTTCGTAGGTTGAGTTTGAAAAGAACTTGATTGGGCAGGACCCGGGTACAGCATTTTGGGGTACCCATATTCAATGGTAACGGCGCTGCATCACAAGCCCATTCTCGGTCGCCACAATACTTCGTCCATCGTCGGTTCCCCGCTGCCTCCGCGCCATGTCGACCTCTGCCCGTAGCCCGCTGCGCCTCCGCGCCGCCGATGATATGCACCACCACCTGCGCGACGGCGCGGCCCTCAAGCTCACGGTCGAGCAGGCGTCAGCGCAGTTCCGCCGCGTCGTGGTCATGCCCAACCTCGTGCCGCCGGTCACGACCGCCGAGAAGGCCGTCGCGTACCGCGAGCGCATCCTTGCGCACGTGCCCGCGGGCCGCGCCTTTGAGCCGCTCATGACGTTGTACATGACGGATGGCACGACGCCCGAGACGATCCGCGCGGCCAAGGCCTCTGGTGTTGTCCACGCCGTCAAGTACTACCCTGGTACGCAAACCCTTAATCTCCCATCGTTCAACATGCATGCGGCGTAGCTGGCGCGACGACCAACTCGGACTCGGGCGTCACCAAGATCGACAACATCTACCCCGTGCTCGAGACCATGGCGGAGCTTGGCATGCCGCTGCTCGTCCACGGTGAGGTGACGGACCAGACCGTTGACATCTTTGACCGCGAGGCCGCGTTCATCGAGTCGGTGTTGAAGCCGCTCATTGCGCGCTTCCCGCGCCTCAAGCTTGTCATGGAGCACATTACGACCGCCGACGCCGTCAAGTTTGTGTCGGAAGCGCCTGCGAACGTCGGCGCGACCATCACGTGCCATCACTTGCTGTACAACCGCAACGGTACACTATCGTCATCTTGGTTGCGTCAAAGTCACCGAGTTGTAAATGTAGCCATCTTCCAGGGCGGTCTTCGCCCGCACAAGTACTGCCTCCCGGTGCTGAAGCGCGAGACGCACCGCCTTGCGCTGCTCGGGGCCATCCAGAGCGGCAGCCCCAAGTTCTTCCTCGGCACGGACAGCGCGCCGCACATCGTCGAGAAGAAGCACTCGGGCTGCGGTAGGCGACTTGGCGAAATGTGTACAACACCAACCACCGTCCATGTAGGCTGCGCCGGCATCCATACCGCCCACGCGGCGCTCGAACTCTACGCCGAAGCGTTTGATGCCGCCGGGTGCCTCCCGCATTTCGAGGTAATACATTCGACCCAACGATCCATATGGAAACGATTGGATATGGATAGAAATTTTGCTCGGAGAACGGCGCGCGCTTTTACGGCCTGCCGCTCAACGACGGCAGCGTGACGCTGGCGCATACGACGTGGACGGTCCCGGAATCCTACGCCTTTGACACGAGCGCCGTCGTGCCGCTCCGTGCTGGCGAGACGATTGCGTGGAAGAAGACCGACTAAGTCCAAGCCGCATGCATCCATACATCCCACGTATTTTCGTTGCACGCTTCTACGTTGCTAGCGTCCTTGCATGGGCATGTGTATATGGAGGGAATTCGAGGTCTCAAGTAGTCGGAGGATGGCCAAGAGTCAATATAAACAGTGGAATGACCCTTGCGTGGGCGACTTTGGTTGTACAGCGCGAGTACCTGAAGCTCGTCCCGACGCCTCATCGTTGCGCAGTGTGGCCGTAGCAGGTTGGCGCAGTGGCAAGCGACGACCCTCTCTAGTTAGTAGACGTCTCGCTCTAGTCGGACGTCGGACGCCGTGCGTTCTGCGCCCGTGGGCTGCCACGTACTCTGTTGTCGGAGAAAAATCGCGTAAAAATAGCCAATGGCGTTGGAGCGGTTAAGGAACGTGCGATTAGCCAGCATGTTGCTTGCGTCCAGTTTTGCATTTGCCAAAGATACAAGCAGCAGCAGCATGGGCTCGGTCATCTCGCGGCCGGTCGTGACGTCGGTGGGCGTCCTGTACCCGGCGTACGCAAGCTTCAAGGCGCTCGAGACGCCGTCGACGGACGATGACAAGCAGTGGCTCACGTACTGGGTCGTCTTCTCCATCACGTCGTCGGCCGAAGAGGTCGCGGAGCGCGTAGTCTCGTACCTGCCGGGCTACTATGTCCTCAAGTGCATCTTCCTCGTGTGGCTCATGCTGCCCAAGACGCGCGGTGCGATCGTCGTCTATGACAGATACCTCCAGCCGCTCCTCAAGCAGTACGAGCCACTGCTCGATGCCAAGCTTGCGGCGTTGAAGACCTACGTGGACAACTGGATCGCCGATATGAAGGCCAACGGCGCTTCCTACATCAAACAAGGCCTGACGATCAGCATCGAGAAGGCCATGGAGGTCCAGGAGGCGGCTGCAAACAGCCCGCTTAAGGCCAAAGTCGCCGACAAGATGGCCGAGATGAAGACGAAAGGCTTGCAGATGACGTCGGACGGCGTCGCCAAGATCAAGGCGCAGGTCTCGCGCCGCAAGCTGTCGTCCGCGATCGACGCCGACGTGGACGCCGAGCCCGAAGCCATCGAGTAGACGTAACCGAAGACGATTATCTATACCACATGCATGTTGTTGCACCATTTTTGCTGTCGCAAAACGCGCTTAGGTCGAGATGTACGAGTACTTGTAGTCTTCCTTCGAGTTGGACTTGTCAATGTACGAGTGGGGCTTGAAGTGCTCGGCCTGGATAAGCTCCGCAAGCATCGGGGCCACGGACAGGCGCTTGACCTTGTCCGAGTGGAAGCGCTTCGGGTCCATCGGGATCGTGTCCATGACGACGACCTCGGTGACCGCCGACTTTTCAATGTCTTCTTCCGCGTTGCCCGTCATGAGCGGGTGCGACGCGAGGCAGAACGACCGCCGGGCGCCCTGCTCCTTGACGATCGCTGCGAGCTTGCACAGCGTGCCACTCGTGTCGACCATGTCGTCGACGACGATGACCTCGGCGCCCTTGACGTCGCCCACAAGCTGGATCTCTTCGGGCTTGTCGCCGTCGACGCCGCCGCGAATGCAGCTCGCAAACGTGATCGGAATGTCCGGAAGCCACTTCTTGAGGCCGCGCTGGAAGACGCGCGCCTTCTTGACGCACTCGGGGTTGGGCGCCAAGACAACGATCGGGCCCTTGAAGAACACCTGCGTCGCAAAGTACTCGACGCCGGCCATGACCGTATCCAGCGTCTCAACCGGAATGTGCGTGTTGAAGAAGCTGGCTTCGTGGCCCTGGCCGCGCAGCTGGAGGTCGACGGCGATGACGCGGTCGACGCCCATGACTTCGAGCATCTTGGCAATGTCCTGGGCCGGGCTGTGCACAAACTTGGAGTTCAAGCTCGTTGCGCTCGGGCTACCGCGGCGATGGTGCTTGTAGGCGTAGTACGGAATGACGGCAGTCACCTTCTTGGCGCTCGCGCGACGCATCGTGCTCACCATGAGCAAGAGCTCAATCACATTGTCATTGACAGGCTGCGCGAGCGACTGCACCAAGTACACGTCCTTGCCGCGCACCGACTCTTCAATCTGGCACTGCACTTCGCCGTCGGCAAAGCGGCCGAGCTTTAGGCGCGCGACGCGCGTGCCAAGGCGGCGCGCAATGTCGTCCGCGAGCTCAAAGTTGGACGAGCCGGAGAAGATCTTGAGCTCGTGGCAGCCCGGGATGAACATGCCTGCGTGCGTGCACGGGTGCTTGTCGGACGGGAAGAAGGGCGAGAACGGGTCCACGCGCTTGCGGTGGTGGGGCACACCAAACTCGAGGTCGCGGAGGTCTGACGACTGCGCCGCCACCGGGCGCTTCCAGGCGCCGAGCGCGTAGCCGGCGCTAACTGCGACGCAGCCAGCGGCCGAGGCGAACCGATCGAGACGCCACATCTTCGTGCAAATGGATTACCCAAACTGAAGCCGCCAGTACGGGATCCAGAATCGTATCCTGTCGGGGATTGGCCAAAATGATTCCGTCATGAGCCAATCAGAAGCCAAGGCATCCTCACCACAGAACTAGCGTCGCATCCCACTCTTCGTCGACGAATACAATATCGGAATTCAATTTTGTATACAAAACGTGGGACAAAGAGGGGGAAAATGATAATAATTTGGAAGAGGATTAGAATAAAATACAGCTCGAAACCATCGACGCCCACCGATTGGCGGCTACGACGCGGCATGCGTGCCGAATTTAAGACCCACGCGATCCGACACGCTGAAGAGAAAGGCTGCAGCGCCTTGAAGATAACGACAACTATACTTATTTAGTTACCGAGAGATTTTGGTACCCGAAGAGACGACAACTCGGAGAGCTAATGCACCCAATCGAATCGGGTGGTGTTCACCAGTGTCAGCTACCAGAAGTTAGCTACCAGTGGCTTGTTCGAACGTGCACGAGATAAGATACTGCTACTCCACTGGCACTCGCGACCCTTCAAGCGCAGATTAGCTTCTTCAACCCCCCAAAGAAGGGCCACCACCGAATGTGCCTGGCACCTGATGCGAAGGAGGAACGTCATCGCGACCTGCGCGTGGTGCGCGCGTGCATTGACGACCGAGCAATACAGTCGAGGTCGAGCGGTGTCGAGTTGGATCTGTCTCATGGCCCTGCCACGTCCTAGTTTTGTGCAAGTGGCACATGCCGATCCTACTCGGTGATGGGCAAAGTCCGAATTCAAAAATCAGCCCTAAAAAAATGGCGGCAAGTCGTACCGACGCGCTGGTCGGACGTGCCATCGCAGCCGATGCCCGCGGGTACCGCCACCTCGTGTCGCTCTACAAGGCCGAGTACCACATTGACGAGCTACAAGCGAGTGACAAGGCGTGCGTCACGGCTGCCGTACGCGCCCTCCGAGTGCACGACGCGGCGGCCGACCGGGCACCGGCACCAACAGGCGTTGCCGTCTTGACCGCGTATACGACCGACTATAGCATTGGTGCTGCTTGCGCCGCCGTCAACAAGCAGTACGCCGACCGCCACGGGTACGAGTTTTACTGCGACGAACTGCCGTACGATGAGATGATGGCGGCGATCGCGCCGCGCCGCTTTTGCGGCTGGTACAAGGTCGCGATGCTCCGGCGACTCTTGGCCAACATGGACGAGTTGCTCGATCGTGGCATTGGCTATCTTTTCTGGATCGACGCCGATGCTGTTGTGGTCGACCAAACCAAACCTGCGTCGGCTCTCATTGCTGCGGCGGGCCATCGCGGTACGCTAGCTGTCATTTCTTATTGCTCATGTTGTTGTGTAGAGCTCATTCTCGCCGAAGACATGAACCCGTGCTGCCTCGTCAACACGGGCGTGCTCCTCGTCCGTGTCTGCGAGTGGAGCCAGCGTGTCTGGGATGACGTCTGGACCATGCGGCGGTACTTTGACGTCTTCTTTTACGAGCAGTCGGCGCTTCTCCGCGTCTTGAAGCAGCGGGACGAAGGCCTTTTGGACGTCCAGCCCTTTCACAGTTTTGTCAAGCATGGACCGAGCGGTCTCAAGCTCTTCCCACACGTGGCCGTGACACCCCATTTGGCGCTCAATTCGAACCGGTGTCGCGGGCTCACTGTCCACGTCAGCGATCCGACTCGGCGCATCGACACCAACTACTCCAAGGACGAAGACCCGAACGCGATGGCCGAGTTTATCTTCCACTGTGCCGGTAGTCGCTTCGTCTCTTGAGGTTATATAACGATATTTTGCATATTAGGTCGTTGTGACAAGGCGCGAACACTCGAGGCCGTGCTCACTGCCCACGGGCTCGACACGTCGTCGCTCGAGCTCTCGCAGCTCAAGCTCGTGCGCTCCAAAACGACGGTGACAAATGCTATCCCCGAGGTATAGCTCCATACGAGAAACACGCTTCAGTCCATGCCAAAAAGGACATATGTCATTTGTTGCGTCTCTTTACTTCTTCAAGCTCTGGCCGAGGAGCTCTTCCAGAAGCGTGTTGAGGTCGCCGAGCATGACGCGGCCATCGTCGACAAGGCCCGCCGACATGCAGCTGTTCATGTGCACCTGCTTGGCGACCTTGACCGCGAGGTCGTTGTTGGTCGCGCGGAGTTCGTTGAGCTTGAGCATGATCGGGTGACGCGGGTTGATCTGCAGCACGTGCTTGGAGGCCGGCATCGCCATGCCACCGCCCTGCTGCTGGTTGACCATCGCCATCATCTTGCGGATCGAGGCCGACTCGTGGTCCGTCACGACGGCCGGCGAGTCAGCAAGGCGGTTCGTCATGACAACATTCGACACCTTGTCGTCCAGATGCAGCTTGAGCCACGCGGTGAAGAGGTCGGCGGCTTCGCCCGTGAGCTTGGCACCCTCCGAGTCGTCCTAGTACCACTGAATCAGACCAAGACATGGTGTAGGAAGCGTACATCCTGGAGGTCGAGCTTGGCGTTCTCGGCCGAGACGATCTTGCGGCCGTTGAACTCTTCGACGTTGTTCATGACGAAGTCATCGACCGGGTGGTACGCAAAGATGACCTCCTTCTTCGTCTTCCTACACGAGCCATCAGTTGGCACCGCGTATCTTCGCACCACCGTCGCACGCGATCGCACAAGGCGAGCGAGTCCGAAGGGTTGAAGAGAAAAGACGTACTTGAAGGCTTCGTAGTACGGCGACTGGAGCGCCATCTCACGCGACGGCGCGCAAATGTAGTAGATTTCCGACTGGTCGGGCGACGCGCGCGAGACGTACTCGTCGAGGGACGTCGTCGCCTCCGGGTCGAGCGCCGACGACTCGTAGCGCAGGAGCTTGGCCAAGGCGGCCTACGATGCCAACTGAGTTACGGACGTGAAGGTGGCGGTCGTACCTTGTTTTGGAAGTCCATGCACACGCCTTCCTTGATAAACATACCAAACTCCTTGAAGAACGCATCGTACGTCTCCGGGTCCTTGCGCGCGCGTTCGTCCAGGAACTTGAGGATGCGGCGCGTGAGCACGTCCTTCATCTTGAGGAGGAGGCGCGAGTCCTGCATCTTCTCACGCGACAAGCTCAGCGGAAGGTCTTCGCTGTCGACGACACCGCGCACAAAGCGCATCCAGTCGGGCAGAATGTCGGGTGATTGGCGCTCGATGAGCACCTTGCGCGAGTAGAGCGAGACGCCGGGTTCGAGGCGGGCGTACCCGTGCTTCTCCGTGTGGGACGACCCAATGAAGAAGAGCGTCTTGAGCTCAATGGGCGCGTCGGCCTTGAAGTGGAGGCGGTACATGGGCTCGTCGAATGCATTTGCGATAAACTTGTAAAACTCGGCGTACTGGTCGTCCGAGATCTCGTCGACGGGCTTGGTCCAGAGCGCTTGGACCACGTTGACTTCGGTCGTGTTGAGGAGGATCGGGAACGCCACAAAGTTCGAGTACTTCTTGATGATCGACTCGACCTTCTCAGGCGTCGCAAACTCCTTGCACGACTCCTTCATGTGCATGACGATCTTGGATCCGCGGCCGGCCTCGTTGGTCTCTGCGACCTCGAACGACCCCGAGCTAGTCGTACGTTTAGTTAATTAGTACACGAGATGCGAGAGGTAGATCTACCCGTCCGACGACCAGACGTGGCCTTTGGCGCCATCGAGCGCCGAGCGGGAGTAGACTTCAACCTTGTCGGCGACCATAAAGGCCGAGTAAAAGCCGACGCCAAACTTGCCAATGATGCCCGTGACGGCCGCGGTAGACTCGGACGGCGACTAGACGACAAAGATAAGACTCTTGCAAGCGACGACGCCGACGAACCTCGGTCTTGAGCTGCTCCATGAACGCCTTGGAGCCCGACCGCGCGATCGTGCCGAGGTTCATCACGAGCTCTTCCTTGGTCATACCAATGCCCGTGTCTTCAATCGTGAGCGTATGATTGACCGTGTCGGTCGTGATGAGAATCTTGGGCTCGAGCTCCGGGTTCAGGAGCGACGCCCCGACCGCCTAGGCGCATCAGGATACAGCATGAGCATGAGGATGATACCAAAGCTACTAGAACGCACCTGGTGGTGGCGAAACTTCTCGAGCGCATCGGACGCGTTCGAGATGAGCTCACGCACAAAGACCTCCTTGTCCGTGTAGATCGAGTGCGTCACAATGTCGAGGAGCTGGCGCGTCTCGGCCTGGAACTCGTGCTTGGTACCGGCCTCGCTGGCGTAGCTGCGCAGGAGCGTCGTCGGCAGCGCCAGCATGGCCTGGCGGCGCACGCTCGGGAGCAACGCGCGGGCAGCAGGCTTGGCGACGGCGCGGGCGGCCATGGCCTGGCGCACGGCGCGGATTGAGTGGCGCAGCATCATTCTGTCAAAAGCAGTTTGCCGTCGGCAATGTTCATGCGAGTGCACATGTCCTAATTAGGATTTTCACACCAGCTGTTTGAAACCAGGACTTTGCCGCAACAGGCACCCCCGGGTACTCGCCGCGGGGGCAGCGACGGCGAATAGCTTCTTCGGCGGCTTCTTCGCACTTGCCGCACGCGTGTGAGATGGGAAAGCGCACTGCGCGCTTGTTCCGCGCCACCGCCCGTGGCCAATCGGCGCCCCCCAGGTCGCCCTCGTGTTGAAGTTGGCGCCCCCAGCTGCAGTGCAGCCGCTAGATACGCTTGGTCCGGGTCGTAATCCAGAGGTAATCGCCTCTTGCAGCCATGCATTCGAAGGCGCCATCGATGGTCGTCGTTGGGATCGCGGCCGAGTAGCTCAACAAGTAGCATCGTGCACAGCGGGACGTGAGATCCGGTCGCGGTTTAGATCGTGCAATCAACCAAGCTAACACTGTCGCGTCTCGACCCGACACAATCATTCGCCGTGCTTGCATCTTATGACCTCGTCCGGTCGTCTCGCGCAAGTGCACCAATGCCATCGTCGCTGCATGCGATCTGAAATTAGGATCGATCCTGGGGCGCCATTTTTCTCGAAAACTCGCAAGTGTATACGGATACGCGATTCGTATCCGGCCAAAACGTATCTTCGGGGGGTGTGCTTTGTGCAACGGGCGTATCATCATGTCCATGCTGCCCCTTCTCGACGGCAATGGCCGAGCGAGTGTCTCTGCAGAGCGACAAAGGGATCTTCCGGTCCCTCCCGCGTTGCTAGCACGTAGTGGCAGTCACGTGTGGCGTGGAGGCTGCATGGTGTGGTTGTATCGCCAGTCGCCGCTGCCCACAGCGTTGGTCACATCGCTCGCTTCTTGGTTGACAGTGCGAGACGCGGCGCCGTCCACTGTGACAGCAAGCGACTCGGATCAGCAAACCGCGACGAGATGCCATCTCAGGTGCTCCTGATTGGCTCGCGTTGGTTTGGGTTCTTCTTCTTACCTTCCTGTCCTGCTCAGTTTGCATTTTGCAGCATCCTCCATTGGCACGATGGAAGCACCCGCGTACTACTGCCTCTATAAGACGAGCAAGTGCCGCAACCCACGCGGGCTCAAGCGAGACGGGACGCTTCACCGTATGTGCAACGACCACCGCGCCAAGGCCAACGAGAGCCAGCGGAAGAGCGAGGCCAAGAAGCGATACCGCAAGCACGTTCTCAAGCGCCCGGCGTATGCACCGTACACGGTGTCGTGGTCGCCGCCTTTTGCCCACGTCGACGAGCTACCACTGACGTCGCCGACGTGGCACAGTCCCATGTTGGAAGACGATGCATCGACCGACGAAGAGCACATGTGGCCCGCGCCCCCCAAGATGGCACTGGCGTTTATCCTCGACGCAGACGTCGGCATGTGTCGTCGAGACGTTTCTTATGCTTAGCTAAGATGACGATGATGGTACCATCCGTGTCTACACTGTGTCGTGGTGGTGCGTGGCTGGGTCGTTGTCCTTGGGCTCGACATGGCGACCGCAGCAGCAGTAGCAGCAGCACGCGAGGAGGTTGAGGAGGATCATGAGCACCCACGGCGCCAGCACGAGTCCGACCTAGGCCATCATTACATTTGGAATTTGAATTTGGTGATGGGACTTACCATGATGAGCCACGGGAGGAGCACGTAAAACGACGAGAAATCGCCCGACTGGAGGCGGTAGGCGAGGATGAAGAACGGCGACATGGCGGCAAAGACTCCAATGAAGACGCACAAGAGACCAAAGAGGCTCGGCGCTGGCTCGTCGTCGTGCACGTTGTCTTCGTCGAGGTGCGCCATCCGGTGCTTCCGGCGCAAGTAGGTTTGAATCTGAGACGCAAGGATAAGATCTTTTTCGAGCACCAATAAGACAGACGTACATGGGGCACAACGAGCGTAATGACGTAGATCCACACGGGTAAAAACACAATCCACCAGCTGCACTCGAGAGCAGCTTCGATCTTGAAGGCCACAAGCAGTGCAAAGGCGAGCCGCAAGAGACTCATGGTCCACGAGTTGAGAATGTCCAGCATCTAATTCGGTGCATCAGCAGGGCACGCGACATCGAGTCCACGTACGAGGCTCATCTTGGACATGCCAAACGTCGAGGAGGGGTCATTGGCAGAGGCGCGGGCAAACGCGGAGTACGCCAGCAGGCCGGAAATGACCTTCTCCACGAGGTAAAAGCCTTCGAGAACGTAGTACGGTGCCAAGACGAGGTGCATCGACCAGTCAATCGAGTGCTGGAGCTTCATCGCGACAAAGATCTGACAGGCGACGAAGAGGAGCGCCTTGATGAGGAGCAGCCTACACCCCACGGTGGTTTATATCGTGACGAGGACAATATATGTTGTACGATTTGCCAAGCAGCCGGAGCGGCTTGGACTGGCGGTCTTCGGGCTCTTGGTGGATATCGGCGTCGTCCCCGAAGAACGAGCACCCGATGCAGCAGAGGTAGATGCCATCGAGAATCCACATGGGCACAAACACCGTGAGCCACGACCAGCCCACGTCGTGGTCGATCTTGAGGCAAAAGAACACTAGTATCGCAACGCATTCGGTACCTATAGAGTTTGCAACGGGAAGACCACGTACGTGGGATCGACGAGAAGAAGCCAAGGAAGAGCGCGACGAACGAGAAAATGAGGCATTTGCCGAGCGGGCCAGACGCGCTCAAGGAGCCGAGCATCGCCATGAGGAGCTCGTCCGGGCCCAAGTCGCCGTACTGGCTCACGAGCTTGACGCCGTCTTCGCCCATCATGTCGTAGATTTCGCGCTGCTTCGGGTCGCTCAAAATGTCGTACGCCGCCTTCATGGCCATGAACTCTTCCTGCGCCTCGGGCGTGTTGCCGCGCTTGTCCGGGTGCAGCTGCAGCGCCTTGCGCCGGTAGGCCTTCTTGAGGTCCTCGGCCGAGACGTCTGTGGTGACGCCCATCGCATCGTACAGCTTGGTATGCTTGGTCTGCCCCATGCTCGTCCTCGGTGGTTTGGCTCAATCGGGCAACACAACTGCCATCTCGGCGACGTGTATTTTTATTCGATTGTACTTTAGTGCTTACAAAACCCAAGTGTATTGAATCTTTTCGATTCCGAGAGGAATGATTCGCTGAAATGCCACCGTTTCCAGCGCATTGTAGCCAATCCAAAGGCGACATGACCGTAGACGGTCGCACTCAGCTGCGTCGCGCGCGCCACGACCACGAAAGAGCCTCCTGCTCGTAGAGGGTGGTACACGAAATTAATGCGTCAACTGCGGCGAGCGTGAGAGCGCAGGAGGCTCAAAGACATCGCGAGCGACACCATGTTAATGTCCACCAATCAACAGCAAGTCTCCTTGTGTAATTTCAGCCAATCCCAACGCGAGAAGCTAACGTTGACACCGACGAGACCACGATGCGCCCGAGGGCTCGTTGCCGGGTCCTATGTAGCCTGCGTCAATAAGTCGTCTAGACTGAGCAAAACGGATAAGCTTCGCCACGAGTTCAACTGCGTGAACTTGCGGGTCATCAGCAAGGCTTGGAGCTTTTCGGGTCGGTGACAGCCACTAGCATCTCAGACGTCTGGGTCTGGAAGAGGAGATCAATGGTCGTCGCTCCAATGACAATATTGGCGTGGATGCTGGTTGCGAGCTCGTCAACCGTGTTGCGCTGTCAGCGTCTCAATTTTCCAAGCGATGTTAATGCAAATTTTCACCTTGCTGGGTATCTCGCTGTCGTTAGGCACTCGCTGTCGCATCGCGCTGCATGTCGCCGCCTGAGCAAACGAGCATTGAGGCAGGTGATGATGAGCCAAAAAACTAGTCGCATCGAAGACCAACGGCTGGGTGCTTGCCACGCTGATCCCAACGATCTTTTTCAAAACGTGGAAGCACGGCAAGAGACCAATCAGCAATAAGATCGTAGGTTATCAGCCAATTAAAACACTGCGTGCAGCAAGTAGCCACTTCGATACTTTTGGACCGACATCATTTTGGAATCTTGCAAGGTGGCACTTGGAGCGCGCCAGATGTAGCCCGACCTGTTAAATAGTACCCGCTTGGTACAGATAGCACCCGCTCGGTACCAGATCTTACACCTTCATCTTCCACGATCATCGTCATAGCGTAGGGACCAAGCATCGACGCACGGACGCTAAATTTATAGCAGCGTCGCGCGTCCATTGGTGCAAATGCTGCGTATCAAAAAGCAGCCAATCCACGATCGCGCCGTATTTTCGGATGCTCATTTTGGCCAATCGCATCCAGGGCACCCGAGATCTTTCAGTTGGCGAAATGTCCGAGGGCTTCGTCGAGTACTACGAGACGTTCAAGGACGCGCGGGCCGACGTCGTCGGGCTCCTCAAGCGCATCGCTGCGGCTACTGGCGACAAGAAGACCGAGCTGCTCCGCGATGCCAACGCCAAGCTCCAGGAGCTCGAGCGCTACTACCGTATCCTCGAGCAGGAGGCCAAGGGCGGCGATGCACAGGAGAAGCGCAAGATGCAGTCGCAGCTGCGCGTGTGTCATGGCGACATTGCAAAGCTCAAGAGCAGCCTCGAGAAGGAGGCGCTATTGGGGCGGCCGGCGGCACCGGCCCCACGCACCGCGCAGGAGCAAGCGGCCGCGTACCAAGCGGGCATGGACCGGACAACCAACCATCTGCAGGACGCCAAGCGCACGGTTGCCGAGATCGACGAGGTTGCGGTCAGTGTTGACGCGAATCTTGCGGTCCAGCGCGAGCATCTGGAGCGGGCGCAAGGCAACGTGGACGAGACGCGCGCGGACGTACAGGACGCCAAGAGCCATTTGCGCAGCCTGGCGCGAAAAGCGTTTTCGAATTTGATTCTGCTCTCGCTCATCATCCTCGGTCTGCTCGCGGGCATCGTGTACACCCTCCTTTACAAGTTTTATTTGCGCTATCGACACTAACGAATCAAGGAACGGCAAATTGATCGCTTTTTGCAGCAGGCAATAACGCGAATTCGGGTACGAGCGAGGGTAGGGTCCCTTGGCTATGTTACATATGTATCATGCACCCCCACTTGCCGATAGCTTTGGAGATAAACTACTTTAGCAACCCCGAAACATCTCAGTCACTTCAACTACCTGCAGTCACACAAAGGACGCTCCCCTCCTCCTTGCTCGATGCAACACCAAGGCTCACGCGAGGGGACCCGTACATAGTCGCTCGCCGCATGCAAATCAAGAGCTCCTTTGTTATATACAGTGATTATGCTAATTTCTTGGTCGACTTACCACGAGCAGGGAGGTGCCACACGAGGCTCGGTAGTCGACGCACCGCTGGCACTCGTATCCTTCAACGTTGCCGAGACCAACGGGCTACGGCCAAGACTGCTCTTGCGATACGAGCGCGAGCGGAGTTCACTCTCGCCATGCGCATAGCTAAGACACGTTGCTCGTGTGACCGGTTGCAGAGGAGACCGAGGCGTACGTGCACTTGGCGCCAAACGTGCAGCTGCCTCGCGTATGGTTGACGCACAACTTCGTCTTGATCTTGTTCCACTCACTGCTGTCGTGACGATACCTACGTCACGTGTCAATTGGTTGGTCAACGCCACCTCGCGTGCGTACTCGCAGTCGTCGCCGCGGGTGCAGGTACCGCGGCGGTAAAAGGTGCACGCTGGCTTGGACACGAGAGGTAGCGCTCGCCAGTTCTCGGACGACGCACAGCGCTCGTTCGTGAGGGTTCGAACCGACGGTAAGGGACCAGGGTTGTAATGCCACGCAGACTTGACGGGGGAGCCATAGCCGTCGGCGTCCGAGCCGGAACTACAGTCGCACCGTGTACATGAGCTAGCGGCGATCGAGCTCTCACCTCTCCGTCGTGGCCGTGCTTGTGTCAGCAGAGATTGCCCGGGCTGCATCGGTGACAAACGGTCGCAGCTCGGCGGTCGAGTGCGCGTAGCTACATCTCAAATGTCAAAGAATCGCGCCCACGTATCGATGACGTACACGCAGCTCGCACCAAACGAACACGATCCCTTCTTCATGTGATAGCACATTTTGGTCTTCAGATAGCCGTGCTTGGGCTTCGCAGGCGGTCGGTACGGCGGTGTCGCCTCGAGTTGAGTCGACCCTCGCAAGGCCCGAGCAATGCGCTGGTACTTGGCCACATTCTCGGTTGTTGTCGGGGCGTGGGCCATGAGCGCGGCAAGGTCTTCGATAGCTTGACCTCGCGAAACCACTAGGTCGAGTGACGGATGCGTCGACATAAGGAGGGCAACGAGCACCCAATGCAGGCACCACTGCTGTCGGTCGTCGTCGTCGTCGCTGCGGTGAAGTGTCGGCAACGGCGCTAGAAGACCGAGGAGCAAGAGAAAGCGCTCCGAGGCGGACATATCAGTTATGTCGTTCTGCCTTGGTCTGCGTCGAACCCATCACGCGTCCGCGCTGTGATGGTGGTGGACTTTGGTCGCCTTTACTCTCGATTGGGATTGGTGGTTCGAAAAAGCAACGACCAATCAGGAGGTCGATTACTTGAGGCGGTCGGGATCGTCTCGAACCATCGACGGCATGCTGTCGCCTCGTCGTGGCGATACTACGATAAGTCTTTTTAACTCCAACTCTTTACCTCTTTACATAGCTGTCTAGTAAGTACTCCTAGTCTTTATGCCACACTATATAGTATTCCATTCAAACACGTTTCTCATCGCGGCGCTCGGTGTCAACTCGCATAACGCGATGCGATTGGCGCATCGCTTTTATCGCATTCGATTTTAGCCAATGGCCTTGCGTCCAACACACACGCACTCTGTCCCTGCAGAGAGTGACACACGGGTGCAGACAGAAATCAGCAGCGCGATGACCGAGTCCTTCCGCGAGTACTACGAAGCGTTCAAGGACCTCCGGTCCGAGGCGGCAGCCGTCATCCGCCTCATTCCCGATGCGCCGGTGGACCGCCGCATGGCCCTCGAGCGCGACGCGCAGGACCGCATCGACGAAGTTGAGCGCTACGTGCGCATTCTCGGCCAAGAGGCGCTGGGCGGCGACGCCCAAATGAAGCGCAAGATGCAAACGCAGCTGCACAGCTGCAAGTCGGACCTCGAGAAGCTCCACAACAACCTCTCGAAAGCGGTCTTGGTCGGCGCTGCCCACGAGCGGAGCACGGGCACGACGACCGTGACGGTCCAAGACCGACTCGACCGCACCGGCGCCGTCCTGAACGACGCCATCACGACCATTGAAGAGACGCGCGCCATCGCGATCGGCGTCGGCGAGAGCCTCGCGACGCAGGGCGACCAGCTGCGCCGGGCCCAAGTCAATGTGCATGCAACGCGCGTCGACGTGAAAGAGGCCGCGCTGCACCTCAAGAGCCTCAAGCGCAAGAACAACGTCAAGATTTTCTTTCTCTGGTTCATCATCTTTCTCCTTGTGGGAGGGATTGTCTACTGGTTTGTGGACAAAATTAAGAACGTGTGGGGCGTCGTTGCCTAATCGACTAACTTCATAACAATTGTCTCCTTGTAGTCATCTTGACGATACATGGTCTTGTACGAGGAGCTACAGCGCCAGTAGAACGTCATGTGCGTCATGCATGACTCGCGAGTTTGCAACCTTTGAGTTTGAGTTTTGATTTTCGCGTGCTTGCCTGGGGATGTCGACCGACATCCTGTCCACAACACTTGCTCAAAAAGATACTTTGGATCTTGCCCAGTGGCGACGGCGACATCACCCTCCAGGTTCTCAACCTCGTCATTCGAAGACTCGGTAAGTATTGTCTTATTCTAGTGTACCATAGTGTCCCTTTCCCTAAAACGGAGGACTAGAGACCTTTGGACATCTAAGGTCCTTCGCCCCGTGTAAATATATTTGGAAATTGTGCATTTTTAGTCGACTGGATTTTCCCAACTATTTCGCGTTTTGATTGGTCAAAATCTCTTCGTTTACCCGCCTTTTAACCAATGGCATCGTGTGGCAATTCCCGCACTCTGACTTCTTCCGAGCGGCGAGCAGCAGTGTGAGCAGCATGACCGAGTCGTTCCAAGAGTACTATGAGACGTTCAAGGAGCTGCGGACCGAGGCGATGGCCATCATCAAGGAGATGCCGAGCGCCAACGCATCCCGGCGCGACCAGCTCGAGCGCGACGCCCGCCACCGCATCGAAGAGGTCGAGCGCTACTTGCGCATCCTCGACCAAGAGGCCAAGGGCGGCGACGCCCAAATGAAGCGCAAGATGCAGGCGCAGATCCGCAGCTGCAACTCGGACCTCGAGAAGCTCAACAACAACCTCGTGAAAGCGCTTTTGCTCGGGAATGCAGCCGAACGACAGCCGGCGCCCGCGGCAGGCGGTAGCAACCCGCACGTCCATCAAGAGCGTCTGGACCGCACGGGCGGCTATTTAAACGAGGCCAAGAACATCATTGGCGAGACGCAAGCTGTCGGTATCAACATCGACAACAACCTCATGATGCAGCGCGAGCAGCTCGAACGGGCGCAAGAGAACGTCAAGGACACCCGCGCCGACGCCCAAGAGGCCGGCGTCCACCTCGCAAGCCTTCGCCGGAAGAACATGGTGAGCATCGCACTCATGTGGGTCGTCATCTTTGGCCTCTCGGTGGCCATTCTTGTCCGCGTCCTCAAGATGGTCCACGCCATCTAAGCTTGCATGTATACACACTTTCTATTACTCCACTGTACTCTCAGCACAACGAATACAGACAATCTTGCCAACAACTCTACAACCGTGGCGTGCTAGCACCGTGGCGCGAAGTGACTGCTGCATTCGTGGAGTCTGAGACTGCGAATTCTGGTACACGTTTGGTTCTCCTGACGGAGCGAAGTAGGTGGCCCAAACAGAACCTGGCTTGACCAAACGACTGGTCGACTCTGGCGCAGAGGCGGCCATGAGGTTGACCAGTCCCATGCAGCGCTCGGCCACCACCAAGATGGTTTAAGAACCAAAGGATGCTATATACTACAGTCTTAGGCGGACGTAGCTTCTGTGTCTGTGCTCTCGAGGACCTCTGTTGGCGGGTGGACCCGAATGTCATCGACAGTGAACGGAATCTCAAACGCACTGCCGCCGCCAAGCGCGATCGTGAGGTTGCCATGATGCAACGAAAAGGCCAGCTGGTCGCTGAGGTAGAGCACAATGAGGTCTTCGCAGACCTCAAACGACGTGACAAGGATCGGGAATGAGACGTTGTTGACGGCCTGGGCCGGCCACGCGACCGCCGTCTCGTCAATAGCGGTTGCCAGATCCTTTGGCGGGAGCTTCGTCGACGTGTTCTGGTACAAAATGTCAAACTGCAAGTGGAGCAGATCCAGTTCGATCGGGAGCGGGTTGTGGATCTGGAGGTCGACGTCCAGTCGGAGCTCGCACGTGTGCGTCTCCGAGTCGAGCTTCTTGAGCGTCGGGTTGAGCTCATACTTGCGCAAAAAGGCTGGCTGACCGTCAATCGTGCCAGGAATCTCGATTGGGAACGACATGCGGTTGAAGAGCTGCTGCGCGAGGCAGTGCGACTGCGGGTGGCCGCCGACAATGGCCAGCGAGACGTTGGACCCGCCGAGGTACGACTGCAGCACGTCTTCGAGCGGCGCCGTGTCGGCGTGCGCCAAATATGTGTACGTGGCAATGTGCGTCGTACCGCCACCAAGTGTAAAGCCATAAAACCCAACCCGGAGCAAAGTTTCGTTCTTCATGGGGTGCGTGAGCTCAAAGCTCAGGTCGGGCACAGTCCACTGCACCTGCGACGCGTACTCGAACGTCACGTCCGAGAAGACGTAGATGCCATGGTCGTCTTCGTCGATATGGCCGCGCGAGAGCCCGATCGTGTGGAGTATCGAATGTATCATTTCGTCAATGTGCTTGGCAATGTCAAAGTCATTGGGTGCTGATCGCCGCCGCCGAGGAAAGGCCCACATGCCAGACCGATGGACCGAGGAAGACGACGGCAGCAAGTCGTGGACGTCGACATGGACGGTAAATGGCACAAGAAGACACGAGATGTGGATCGGAATGGACCCCGACACAGTCAGCTCTGGCGTCGGCGACTGAAAGAGAAAGCGCTGGAGGTCCATCGGCGATGCTTGGACGGAGAAGAAGACGTGCGACTGCACCGACGAGGCGCCGGTCGCGAGCGAAAACGCTGGCAACGATACGACTAGAAGCGAGGTGCCGTTGGTCGAGAGGTGCACATCGAACGGCCCGATCGTCGGCGCGCACAGCGACGGGTTGACAAACTCGACGCCGACGGCGCCAAGCGACTTGTCGCTGCAGAGGTCGGGCAAATGCAGCGAGCGAAAGGCCATCGTCGTGCCCCGCAGCGCCAAGACCAAGTGCACGAGCGTCACGAGAGCGATGACGATGCAGCCTACGAGCGCGAGGACCACTTGCACGCGCCGCCGGCAATACCAGCGTGGGCTCGCCGCCGGCGAGATGGGCGGAGCGTCCACGCTGCCGCTAAGGAGCCGGTCGCGCTGGTCGTCGTCGGCCATGAGCGTTCGGCAATCTTTGTGTGATCTTGCGAGAAAACCTGTGCAAATACATATCCATTGTCAGAGGATATCACCTGGCTGGACGCACGCAACTTTGCGAGGCCACGCGAGCATGACGCCGCGTCCCTCTCGCATCAAAGTGCAAGGAATCACTATACGTTCAAGTGTCTAAAGGCACGCCGCCTTTGCTTTCGCTGTCCACCGCGCACGCTGGGCCTGCCACGCGTGGGGTCTGTAAGCCAATCAGCGTCGATTGTGCCAGAGGGCAAAGTCGAATTCGGGATGATGTACGCGTGGGCAGAGGACGAAGCGACGGCCGACCTCGTGCGCGACCTCGCGTCGCTGGAGACGCCAACGCCCGAGACGCGCCTCTTGCTCAAGCCTATCTTCCGCTGGGCCAAGCGCGAGCCGGAGAAGGCGTACGCGTACGTGGTTTGGTTGCTGCAGCTGCATGAAACTGGCGACGGCGACATTCCCGCGCAGCCGACCATCCAAGCCAACTACGCCATCAACACGCTCATTACGGCGAGCCAGCGCTGCGGCAAGGCCATGGAGGCCCAGCGCGCGTTCGACCTTCTCGGCGTGCACGGCTTTACGCCCGACGTCTTTGCGTACACGGCGCTCATCGACGTGCTTGGCCGTGGCCAGCAGGCCGAAATAGGCCTCGCCATGTACAAGCAGATGCTCGCAACCGACGTGCAGCCCAACATTGTGACGTTTACCACCATCATCCGCGTGCTCGCCATGAGGTACGAACGCGCCATCGATCGACGACTGACAAACATGCCAGCGACACTGTCGACGTGAGTTACGTTTTGAACGTCCTCGAGCACGCTCGGCTGCTCGACAAGACGTGCGATCCGTCGCTGTACACGGAGGCCCTCGAGACGTGTGCGAAGCGCAAGGCCATCGATGTGATCACTGGCGTCTTGCAGCAACGACGCCTCGACTACGGCCTCGAACTCCTCGGCGATAAGAGCATCCTGGCCATTAGCCGCGTCGCGCGCGAGCCATCAAACGCGCGCATCGTCGACGGCTGGGTCGCGGACGGTCTCTTGGATGCAGCGGACAAGACGCGCCTCTTCTTGGCCTCGTCGTCGTCGTCTGTCACAGACGGTGCGTCCTTGCTATTTGTCGTCCCTCTGTACAACCAAGTGTAGACAAGTACCAAGGGTGTTTGGGCTACGAGACGCCGGCGTCCGTGCGGCAGTCGGTCATCCTGCACGATATCGATCGCCTCATTGAACGCGTCCTCAAGGGCGTGCTTCCCACCAAGTATCTACATACGCGTTTAGTCTATCCTGGATACTACTATCCGGTATCGCTCTAGGATGGATTTCGAGACGCTCATTCATCAGTGCCGCAAGCGCAAGTGGCGGGAGCAAGTCCACGTCGTCTTTGACGCAATGACCACGCTTGCTCATGCCGGCTGGACCTTCCTGAACGATGCGAGTCGAGATCCGGTACCGGCGCAGCCCACGGTGACGCCGGGCCCGTCGACGTACTTGGCGATGATTGACGCGTACATTTGCTGTCACGCGATCGACGACGCATGGCGTGCGTTCGCCCAGATGGACGACTGCCACGTCCCTCGCACGCAAACCATTGTGCGCAAGTACATTCGTGGCTGCTACCTCCTCATGCGCGACTTGAGCGCGGCGCCGTCGCCCGAGACGTGGCACGTCCGGAATGTTGTCGACCTCGCGCTGCGGGATGCCATTGTGATCTCGCCCAAGATGGCCAGTTATATCTTGCGTCTCTACGGCCTCCACGAACACCTCGGTCTCGACATGATGGCAACGCTCGTTGGTGTTGGCCACGACCGCCAGTTGCTACTCGACGAGCTCGTGCAAGCTTGCGTGTATGCTGGCAACGTCGACGGCGCCTTGGCGGCGCTCGCATATCTCTCGGGCGGCACGACGGCCACGGTCGAGCGCGCGCTTCTGCTGACCTGCATCCACGGCCCGACGCTCGAGATGGCGCTTGACCGCCTGCACACGCTGCAGGCCCACGCGCATCTGCTGCCTGTCCCGGTCTACGCGTCGATTTTACGCGAAATGTACACAAAATACACGGCCAAAAGTGGTCAAATGGACGGGATCGGGCGCGCCAAGTGCCTCAAAGTGCGTACGTCCATCACCAACGAGCCGCTTGCGTGGCCGAGGACTCACCACACAGATAGTGTTTGAAAAGCGTGCCATCTTTGAGGCGACGGCCGCCCACGCCGCTGCGTTACGCGCCAAGGCGCCGGTCGAGACGACGTCGTGCGGCGCGCTCTGGTGTGCGTCGATCGAGGAGCTCTCATGCGCCCCGATCCTCTTTGCCCAGCACTTGACCGAGCGGCTCACTTCCGTGCGGGACAAGGCGGCCAAAGAGCTCGCCCAAGACGACATTTGCGCTGCGATCCGCGCGACGCAGGATCCGTATCTCTTTCTGCTGCAAGCGCTGCTGGCGTTCCCGTCGATCGACGTGGGTTTCCGCCTCCAGGCCAAGTTCGCCAAGCTCCTCCTCGCTATGGTAGCGTCCGCCGACCTCAGTGTGGACCCGACAACGCCTTGCGTAGGTGCCGGGGACGCATGGCCCACACCACGTGGCGTACTGCTTGAACGAGCTCGACGCGATGCCCGTGCACTTGGTTGCAGAATTGGACCGCGTGCTCGACCTCTGTGCGGCGGACGCCGGTCGGCTCGTCGACTACTGCCGGGTTGCCACTCTGCAAGACAATGCCGAGAAGACGATCAACTTTGTGCTCGCCCACGACGTCTTCTTCGCTCCGGAGCACGCGATCGTTCTCGCGGCGCATTTCGCAGAGCTCTATGCCAACGGCAATACTGTCGGCGTCAAGTACATTCGCGCGACCGCCAAGTACCTGTCGAGTGCGGTCATTGCGGCCCAAACGTTTCTCCAAAGCCTCGAGGCGCGGCTGCTCGACGACGACGAGTACCCGAGTCTGCACGTCGCCGACGTCCAAGTGCTCGCCATGGAATTTGCGCTCCAAGAGGCCTTCCCCGCCCTCATGCAGCTGGAAGCCACGTACACGCGCAAGACGGTACTCGTCGATCCCAACCGCATCTACTGGTCGCTGCCTACGACTGCCGTGACGATGGTGGTCGACACGGTCGAGGCTGTTGCGGTCGCGTCCTCTGTGCTCTGTCGTAGCCGCCTTGTGGGCATTGACGTCGAGTGGCGCCCCGATGTCCACGCCAAGATGAAGTCCAAGTGCGCTGTGGTCCAGCTCGCGTGTGTGAGCCACGTCTTTGTCCTCGATGTGCTCACGGCGTGGTCCAACGAGATGCACGGGCTCTTCGATATGGTCGTCCAGAACGCGTCGATATGGAAGCTTGGCTTTGGGCTGCACCAAGACGTCTCGCGGCTCCAGTGGTCGTTCCCCGACGCCACGTGCTTCGAGTACGACGAGTGGGAGAGCGTCTTGGACGTGCAGAGCTACTACTGCAAGCTCACGAAGCGCAACCAAGTCGGTTTGAGCCGATGCGTCGAAGAGACTCTGCTCGCGCCGCTCAACAAGAGTCAGCAGACGAGTGACTGGGAGGCCCGGCCGCTGTCGCCCGACCAGGTTGCGTATGCAGCGAACGACGCCTACTGCCTGCTGGAGCTCGTCCGCGCCCTCCGCCCGCCCATGATTGAGACTCTCTAGAATAGAAACTAGACATCGAAAGCCGTTCAAGGCGTAGATGCAATACAGCACGTGGGCTACGTTAGAGACGCGCTCACGGATCGACAGAAAAGCCAGGGGCTTTGGGCTCCGTGTTGGAGTGGGCGAGATCGCTGAGGCGCTTGATTTCGGCAACGGCCATCGCATTGGCGTCGAGGAGGCAACGCTCGGCGTGGTATTGCTGACTGAGCTTGGCCTCTTTGATGCAGTCGGCTTCGCAGCGTGGAACGCTCGGTGCGCTCAAGCACTGGACAAGCCAAATGTTGGCTTCGGCCATCGCTTTCTTGACGTCGTCCAGGACCGGGTTGGCGGCGTCGAGTGTCTTGAGGATCTTGAGGTGCTTCTTGACATCACCGCTCAGGATGGCGCATATTCTCTACGTGTGGCGTACGAGACAATGACCAAGTGTGCAGATGTATGTACCTTGGCTTCGTTTTGGATCTCGACCACCGACTTGGTCGCGATCATGTCGGACAGCTTTTGCTGCGTGTCGTTTACAGACTCGACGTCGTCGTTGCCTCCGTCTTGGTCGTCTTCCTCTGTGTTTTGCAAGCTTGTATCGAGGCCCTTGGAGCGGCCAAGGAGCGAGAGCCGGCGGCGGATGTTGCTGAGCTTGCGCCGAATCGGGTGCACCTCCTTCACGGCCTCGTCGGCGCCCGCGAGCACCTCGGTCGGCTCCGTCGCGGGCTCGGCCTCCGGCGCAGTGACCACCGCAGGGTCCGCGTCCGACGGTTCGCGGCTTGCCCGAAAGATCGACGAGATCGACGACAGCATGCAGAAATGGAAATGAGTGACGTTTGGACGGCCCAAGGCCATTGGCCGTAAAGATGGCATTTTCAAGATTTCAGCCAATCCCAACATCGTATTGTTGAATGGTGCACCAATCAAACGCGTGGCTCGGATGAAAGATACGCCAGCGAGCAGCTCACTTGGCCGCGCCTCTCAGGAGAGAGTGGGGACCCCTAGAGCTGCCATGATAGCTCGAGGTACCGTTCGCTTCTCTGTTGACTTGTGCGGTCGCCTGTCGATATGCATTGCTGTCTTCTTGCGTCGCCAAGTTCAAGTTGCGTGCGTTCAGACCTTCTTCGAAAAAGCCATCTGGCCGCGTCCTGCACGACGGACGACGTGATGGACACGCAGCTGCGCTTCGCCCGGCAGCGCGACGATGCGATGCGAGGGACGGGGTCGCATCACGCCCCGCGCGCCATCGCGTTCCACATTCCAGTGACACGCGCCAAGCCGGCGCCGCGACGGGCCAAGCCCAAGCCCTCGCCGTGGGCAGCCCGCCCACCGCCGGTAAAGCGCTCGGTCAAACCAGCATGGAACGACGACGTGCACGGCGCCGTCCTCTTTGATCAATCGCTCGCCAAGAACCAGCTGCTAAAAGACCCCAAGCGGATACGCGATAAGGTCCCGGCAGCAACGCCAAAGACGACAATTCGCAGTGTGTACGCGCAGCCCAAGACGAGCCAGCCGCCAGTGAAGCAAGAGCCCATCGCGCGTCCTCGACCAGTCACAACAACTCCTAAGGTCAAGACAAAGCCTGCGCTTCAAACACATTGGTCCCGTCGTCCAACGGCCGCTCCAGCACCGCCGGCCACAGCGCCCGAGCCCGTTTGCACCATCGTCGCGGCGTCACCAGGTCGAGTCCCGTCGCCGCACGCCGCTGTTCGTTCCTTGGAACCGCTGCAATTGACGACGCAGCACTCGCATCCACCGCTGAGCTACAGTCCGAACCCGGTGATACGTCCGTCGTCGCCGGTGCGGACGAGCTCGAATCAAGAAGACAAGGACGACGACATTGCCTATCGGTCGATCCCACCGCCCATCATCGACGTGCCGTCGCCAACTCCAGTCCAGCGCAAGCTCATTGTGAGCACTTTTAAAGTGCTCGATACGAAGCGTCGGGGCGTCCTTCACGCGCGCGAGATCCACCAGGGGTTGCAGCTGCTCGGTATCACGTCGACGCTGCGTCAGGTAACACGCAACTGCAAGACAGTCATGTCCATAGTGTACGTGACTAGATTACCGACTATCTGTACCTTGTCAACGACGGCCTGGGCGACACCATCGGGCTCAGTGAATGGGTCATCCTCGTCAACACGCTGCAGTCGGCCGAGTGGCTCACGGCCGACAGCCCATTGCAAATCGAGCCCTCGGACGCGGGCTCGGCGGCGTCGGCCCACAGCGTTGGGTTATCCCCTATCCAGCAGACGCCGTCGCCGTCACCGATGTACCGGGCGCCGTCGCCAGTCATTGCAGCGAGACCAGCGTCGCCATTACCCACGACCTTTCAAGAAGCGTGGTTCATCGACCAGATCGAAGTACGCATCCATCAGATCGATCGGTCGCTGATGCCGCACCTAGCGCCGCATCAACGAGATGTTTTCACGGGCAGAGGCGTCGGTGGCCGTGCGCTGGAACAATCAACAAACGACCGACGAAGCCCCCGAGACCTTTCTTCGACGCGCGGCGCATGTCGTCCACGGACTCAAGGTAGACGTCGCCAATGACCAGTGGCATCACTCGATGGATAGTCGAGTCTGTACCCGCTGGTGCACCAGGCCGAAGAGACGCTGCGTGCGATCCAAGGACGCCACGCGACCAGTCTCAGTGTCTTTTTATCGCCAAAAGACATGGAAAAAGTCACCACACACGCCGAAGACCTCGTCGAGCTGCTCCTGGATGACCTCCTCACGGTACAGTCTCCTAGCTACCATCGATCTTGAGTGCACTGCACAGGACACGGTCGACGTCCTTGAGCAGCACGAGAAGGTGCAGACCACCGAGATGTGGCGCCAGAGTGAACTTGATCAGCTCCAATCGCTTCTCGACCTGATCGAGTCGGTCCAAGCCGACGAAGACCGGTTGCTACATCCTCCGCCAGTTGCCCTAGCAACTGCCGAGAACGTCGTCTCGGACGCTGCAGGAGGCTGCGTCGTGCCGCTTAGCGTCCTCGTATCGACGACTGTCTCCACCGACGCATGCATCACCAGCAGCACAGACCCCAGCGCCGCTCAACACGACACAATGCTGGATCCTGGCGATCGGCCATCGTTCTTCAAGACGCCGCTGATACGTGGCATCTCGACGACGCATGTTGGTCGCATGGCAGGTGCACTCGAGCTGCACCGCACAGCGTTTCTGCGGTGCGTCCTCTGTCTCCTATGCATCGATACGATCGCTACGTAGATCGCGCAAGGTGGCCGAAGCCACGCTTCTCGACACGGGGCTGGAGCAGCATGTCGTGATTGAGCTGTACGACCCCTTCTTGCGGCCACTGGGAGTGAATTCGATGTGGTAGGCTTGAAGAAATGCTCCTCCATGATATGTTGGACGACCTTGCGCTGGAACTCGACAGCTGCTTTGGCAAACTCGGCGAAAAAATCTTGCGCACCGTGTAATTCGTGCTCTGTTGCGACGGAATGATCGACTGATCGACTGACTGATCGACTGACTGATTGATCGACTGATTGATCGACTGAGTTATCGACTGAGTAATCTACTGATTGACTGACTGATTGACTGATTGACGCATTGGAGGATTGACTGATCGAGTGATTGGTATTGAAAACGTCACTAGTCTGAACACACCAGAGACTTACCAGCTTTTATTTTACGCGACGAGTCGCCAGAGACGCGCGACGCAGTCGTCGCCAGTCGAGACGAGCAGCGTCGGGTCATGCTTGGACCAGCGGACGCAGTTGACGTCACCTATTGAGTCGTCTTGTTGCCCATTTTATCAACGAATATCAAGTTGATACCAGCGTGGGCGTGCGCATGCGCATAGGCGAGCTGGAACGGACTCTCGGGTTTCTCTTGCGCAAAAAGACGGAGCCCGTCGTCGCCACCGCCCGTGGCGATGCAGTTGAGCGTCGGGTGCCAATCGACGCTAAAGACGGACCGCTCGTGGAAGCCTTCGAGGGCCTGCAGCGGCTGCCACGACGTCGGCCTAGGGGACGCTTGGATCATAGGTTGGTACAGACAAGGGGTACCGGCCGTCGGCGCTCGTGCCCGGCTGGTGCTGCCAGAGCAGTACGTTCGTGTCGTCCGAGCACGACGCCATACGCTCGCCGTCGGCGCGCAGCGTGACGCCCCACACCGTCGAGGTATGGCCCTTGAGCGTCTCCTTGCAGTACCAGTCGTCTACACAAGTTGTAAGAAAACAGAGAGAGGCAAGTGCGTACCGTCGCTCTCGGCCCAGACGCAGATCGTATCGTCGTACGATGTTGAGAAGAGAATGTCGTCGCTCGGGTGCCACTGCACAAACTTGACGTCCTGGCTGTGCGCATGCAGCACCGAGATGCACTCAAAGTCCGTGTCTGGGTCGGCCTCCCAGATCCACACGCTCTTGTCGCGGCTGCACGTAGCGAGGTACGACCCCGACGGGCTCCACGCGATCGACTTGACCTCGCTCTCGTGGCCCTCGAGCGACGCGATAACCTCGTACACGTCGCCGCGGCGCTCCCAGATGACCGTGGTCGCGTCAAAGCTCACGGACGCAATGAACTGCCCGTTCGGCGACCTAGGATACGTGAGCCATGACCGGCGAAAAGGGCGAACGTACCACTCGCAAGCGCGGATCGTTCGGTTCTGCGCGTCCTCGAGCGTCGCGACGCAGTCCCAGTGGTTGGCGCTGTTGCGCGCGCGGGCCCAGATGCGCACCGTCTTGTCACTGCCGCACGTTGCCAGGAGGCTCCCGTCCGGGCTCCACGACGCATGCCACACGCACTCGGCGTGGCCCACGAGCACCGCGATCTCTTCGAGATGCATGCTTCCTGTCTTGGGTTTTATTGGAGCGGTGGCCATCCGGATGATACCAAAGCATCCGGATATGGGATGGCAGGCCATATCGACGCTCGATCCAACGATGCCTGGACCATGGACGCGGGCTGGGACTTGCCAACACGCTGCACGGGCCTGCAACAGCTGCTGCGACGTACATGGCTACGTTGCGCACAGTGCATGGTCGCGCGCGTGTGCTTGTGCGCTTGCGACTCGACTTGAAGGCTGTCAAGTTGTGTGGGTGGCCTCGCAATGGGCACAGAAGGTGGGCAGCAGCTCACAACTGCAGTATGGTTGGCGTCAGCGCTAGACATGGCAGGGCTGCCGTGGCTCTCGCAGCTGGGCACTGTCATAGAAGATACGTTGTTTTTTCGATGCGAACGTTAGAACATCATTGCCAGCTTGGCCTTCGATGGAACATCCACAAGATGGCAGCCATGCTAGCGACGGAGAAGTTTAGTGCTCATTCGACGACAACCTTTAGACGACTATGTAGTATCGGTATGCGAAGGATAGAACAGGTACGTCCGTGGCGAGCACATGAGCTCACTTTTGAATTCGCACGGTCGCACCAAGATGACGGACAAGTCGGACGTTTTGCTGGACGATTGCCACCTCTTGCGCAACGTTGGCCGACCTGGGTACGAGTACCTCATGGACAGCCGGCGCGTGGACGAGAGCATGTATCCTACGGCCCCGACCGCTGGCCAATACGACGCGAGCAAGCCAGCAAACAGCGCATACGACCGCCCACCTTCAAGTGGCGCCTACGCGGCACCCAGTACCAGCCCCCCAAGTGGCGCCTACGGCAACCCGAGCACCAGTCCTCCCAGCAGCGGCCACGGCACGCCCACTAGCCCACCAAGCAACGGCTATGGAAGTCCAACCACGAGTTCACCGAGTGGCTACGGCAAGCCTGCGAATTCACCAAGCAGCGGTTACGGCAAGGCCACTAGCACACCTACAAGTCCACCAAGCAGCGGATATGGCAAGTCCACCAGCCCACCGAGTGGCTACGGCAAGCCTACGAGTCCACCAAGCAGCGGCTACGGCAAGCCCACCAGCCCACCATCCTCTGGCTATGACCGACCGACCAGCCCTCCAAGCAGCGGCTATGGAAAGCCCACCAGTCCACCATCCTCTGGCTATGACCGACCGACAAGCAGACCAAGCAACGGCTACGACCGACCGACAAGCCCGCCAAGCAATGGCTACGGCCGACCGACAAGCCCTCCAAGCAGCGGCTACGGCAAGCCCACCAGACCACCAAGCGCTGGCTACGGCAGACCGACCAAGGCCCCCAGCGACAAGTATGGCAAACCCAGCGGTGACAAGGGCCGTGGCGCTCGATACGATGGCAACGATGGTCCTGGCTCGCCTGGGAAGGGCAAGCCATCTCGCTACGGGGATGACTATGGCACGCCCACCAAGACCGAGAAGCCGTCGTCGTACGGTAGCACGGAGCCTCCGTGCGAGAGTCTCAAGCCGCGCCCAAAGTACAGCGACTCGACCGATCAGTCCAATCGCGGCCGTGATGCAAAGACGCACTACCGCGAGTCGCTCGTCGAAGAAGCTAAACCAAGTCAATGCGGCGACTGCACGGGGTGCTACTCGGGTGCCAGTGGTACCTGCCTCGGTGAATATTCGCCGCGGCTCTGCTGGACGGCAGGACTCACGTGGTGCGGCGCGCCGGCAGCACCGCCGGCACCGACACCTGCCAACTGGGACAACATTAGCTGGGGGCCCAAACCCGAGTGGGCGCCATTTGGTCTCGAGTGGCCGCCGCGCGCGTCGTACTTTACCGACAGCTACAGCTACGCCGACGGCGAATGGGTCGAAGCAGGCGATTCGCCGGCTCAAACCAAGTCATGCACGCCCGACCCGCGCTACGAGCATCTGAGCCGCCCGGCGTGGTATCCGCCGCAGCTCTCGTGGCCGCCGCTGAGCTGCGGCGACTTTTGGGACACGGCGCCAGCGCCGCCGACGTCGCTGGCGCTGACCGACCGCGGGCTTGCGTTGCTCAAGACCAACATGGTGCCGCTCGTGTCGGGGTGCGCGCTCGTGGTCGTGGCGCTCGGCGTGGCGTTTGTCCGGCGGTCGCTACGCCGCCATCGCGAGCGCCGCGAGCAGGAACTGTACGAAGACAACAGTCACTACCAGCCGCTGCTTTAGACGCCCGCTTTTGACGTCGATAGAAGCCGCGAGCTTTGTTCTGGAAACGACGACTTGTATATCCTTTTGTAACTCAGTTACAGCACGTGTGTTCCTACTCCCCATCGAGTTGAGTCATAAGCTTTCCGTACTCACATTTGCAGTGCTCAAACACTGATGTCGACAGCGCAACTAGGGCACCAGTTGCCACTCGCCCGGTGTCGCCTCAATGTTACACATCACATTGAACTAAGGTCTTCAGCATGCGCAGCGCAGCGAAAGAGGCCGCGTCGGCTAGCCGCGGCCAACTATCGAATAGGAGTATCTATCTAGCTATCTAATTCATTTTGACACGGAATTTCCGGATTTTGACCAGTATTTTTAGCGTGTTGCGCAGACAGGACGACAAATGCGTGCGCGGTCTCCGTACCAACGGGACCTGACGCCGACGAGCAAGCACATTCACGAGCTCATGGACGAGGAAGACGCGCGGTACACCAAGGCGACGCCACCCGCGGAGCCGCCGGTGCGCGGCTACCAAGTACCGATGCTGCGGAGCATTTCCGTGCGCGAAAAATACGCGCGCGAGGCGCTCCGGCGTCTCGCAAAGAACCTTACGACGGCGTCCAGCGCCCACGACGACGCTGTGTTCAACCAGGTCAATGAAATCCTCCATCCCAAGTCGGCAGCCCCCGCCAAGAAGAAGTTTGACAAGCGCTGGTACCACTTTCACAACCGGCAAGTGTATAGCATTGGCCAAGACACGGTGCCGACGCCATTGCCCCCGAGCAACGTCGAGCCCGCACCGGTGCGGCTTCATGCGCTCTCCAAACCCCACGTGGCGTTTGACGCCATGTCTGACACGCACTCGTCACGGAGCAACACCAGCGACGCTCTGAGCAGCGACGCTCCGACAACGGCCGACGAGACCGAAGTGTCTGCACCCGACATGACAACATGTCCACGCAACGTCTACCACGCCTGTTTTGACGTTCTCTTAGCTTTGGTGCACGAGACACTCACAGCCAAGTAGGTCGACTGGGCCGTCGCGGGCGTCGAAAAGGTCGTTAAAGACGCGGTAGAGCGGCAGCGCATTGGTGCTCTCCTGCGTGCGCATGCCCGCATTCTCTTCCACCTCTTCCGATACCACGCGAGCCTTCAAGGCGGGAGCGATCGGGTTCGATGCGGCGACCACTGGACCAAACTACAAAGTGTATCTCCTAGGAACCGTTCAAGCTCGCGGCCAAAGCCAAGATCCTCGAAGACTTGAGTGTTCCGATCCCAGAGCCGGCGCGGCACGGCATCAGTACACACCTCATGCCACCACGATTGCTTTGAATCGTAGGTGCTAGGTGACCAGCCAACGAGTCGACAGGACTTTTTGCTCTTTGTCGTGCAAGCCGCACTAGGCTACTACAAGCGAGGTGGTTATAACGTCATTGCGCAAATAATGATATCGAATATCTCTAGACGAGGTCGCGGGGCTCGTCAAGCGACTGGCCAAAGAAGGTCTCGAAGACTCGACGAGCGTCTTCTATCTCCTGCACGACTTCCTCTTGCCGTTTGCATCCATTGAAGACCCAACGCACTTTCAAACGCTCTTCTTCAAGCACGAGAGTGCGCAGCAAGTGCTGACGATGCACCGGATCGGGCTCGAAATGGCGTTCCTCCAGCACGCAACCCGGGTGACGCACGACCCGACGACGTCCAAATCGCCAAGTCCCATGCCGCAGTCGCTGCAGCCGTTCCTAAAATTTCAGAGCTACCTCGGCTTTCTTCACCACTTGAAGCTTGTACAACACACCCTCTCTCGGTATCTTGTAGCTCTGAATCTGTGCCGTAGATTGACACCAAGCTCTCAGAGACCAAAGCCAGCGTCATCTTTTGCTCGTGTCTTCCCGTGTGGCCCGACGACCGTGCAGTCGTGTCGCAGTGCCTCGACTACAATGGCTTTACGCTCGCTTTGACCAAGATCGCGTTTGCCAAACACGAAAAAACCATCTGCGGCGGCGAAGAAGACGTGTGTCCGTCCCGACACACGTCAGCGCGCTGCGCTTGCGTCCTTGCCACCGTCCAGGACAAGTACAACATGCACGCATACCTCGAGCCGCTCGGCATCCTGATTGCGAAGATCACGTCGCCTGGCTCCCGGCGAGGCGTGCGGCGACGGTCGGCCACAGACACGGAGGCTGCCAAAGCCTAGTCGTGTAAGATACGTGAACGCAGGCCTTTTGTTCTGCCTTGTGGCTTCTTGGCACTGTAAAGGAGGGTGTTTTGCGTTGTACAACTCAATACTATTTTGTTAC